TTAGGGACCCACAGGCTGGCCTGGACAGGGTAGCAGCTAAGTGGCTGGAATATGGTATTGGGCTCCACGGGAGGAATTCTAGCGCAGGGAAATATGGGGTGCTCAAGAGGCAGGATCAGCCTAGTCAAAGTGCTCTGAAGAAAGGTAAGATTTGCACCTGATGAAGACCAAGCTGAAAGGTCCATTTGGGGACATGGAAGTTGGGGTAACTGAGCTGAGAAGCTGACTTAGTGGAGAAGGAATTGCAGTAGGAGCAGAACAAGGCAGTAAAGTTCTGGGCTCCTGTCATGGCTGCCAACTTCCCTGCCTCATGGTACCCTGCCTTTGTCAGAATCCTTCTGGCAACAGAGAGCTTGTAGCTTCTTATGGTCAGCTGAAATCTATCACGCTGCAGCATTCACCACCAATGTTGGTTCATCCCTGAGGACCAAAACAAGATAGTTCATCAGGACAGCTTTTCAAAGAGTTGGAGATGGCTCCTTTGTCGCTTAAGTCAGAAGCTTCTCTACTCAAGGCTAAGGCTAAGGAGTTTTGAGTTTCCTCACTTCTGAACATGTATATATCAGTTACTCTGCATATACTAAAGTGTGTGGCCATAAACTGCACAGAGAATTACCCTTGAGGTCTGACAACTGCAGGTCAGAAGAAAATCAGTACCCTTAGTACCACTAATGCTCTGAGGACACTAGATTCTTTACCAGCCACATCACACAGCAAATTAGGTTCAATTTACTTTAAATAAAACCTTTTGTTTTTATTTTTAAACACTGCTAAGCTGTACTTCCTCCATCCTGTGCTTGCACAATTGGTTATTTGTACCCAAGTCGAGTGAACTGGGTAAGAAAATGGCTTTGGGGGTTAATATTGGGTTCCTAGTCTGTGTCTATTATTTACCAGCTGTGTGACTCTAGGCAGGTTACATAATCTCTCTGCAAGTTATTTTCATTATGTGTAAATGGCAATCGTAGGAGTACCTACCTCACAGAGTTGTGAGAATGAAATGAGATAACGCCTGTAGAGCTCTCAGCGCAGTGCCTGACTCACAGTAAACCCTCAATAATATTAGCTATTATTATCTATTTTCACCTATTATTAATATCTTAACATTGTTATTGGGTCCTCTCCCTCTCATTAAACATAATTTAATTCAAATCTCTTCCAACATTGTGTCAACCATGATTATAATTTGCATGGACTTCATATCCCTCTGCATTTCTTCAGTGAGGTTTTGATGTTTTACATCACATGGGCAGTATCTCCTATAGTAACAGTCCACTGAGGAAGCGAGAGAATGAATAACTCATATGATGAATCTTCTGTGTTTGCTAAAGTCACTCCAACAGTTACAAATTCACTTGTCTTTGCATTCAGTCCATATTCGTTTCCCTCATTACCAGGGATATCATGAAGATATCCGTACTAATCCTATAAAATGCCACATTGAAGTCCAGACGTGAGCAACAGGAGGAGAGACTTCAGGTCCATCTCACAAAAGCGATACCTGGAGGACGTGGTAATATTTGGTGCAGAAAAATGAGAAGGTGCAAATCATGGAATACATCGATGAGGATGACAATTTGGTGGGTGAGTTTGATGAGGATGGGGAGAAGGTAGCCATAGATGGCATAAACTTCCAATGAGGCCAATGTTATGTCGGCAGGAAATGATCTGGAAGTAGCTATTTCAAGCAGTCCATGCTGACACCTCCGTAACCAATGATTTAGAACAAATGGTGACTCCCTTGCAGGTTTTTCTCAGGAATTAATCCAAAACATCAGTCTTTTTTAAAGAGGAAAAACTGGATCCTTGAAATAAGTGGGCTTGAGAGTCAGGTGTGAAGGAAGAAGAGAGCTATTCAGGGGAAGAAAGAGAAGAGAAAGAAATGCATGGGTAAAATAGTGCACTTCACCAGCTTCGCCTCTCTTAGAGTGTGTAGGAACCAATGGAAGTGGTAAAGGAGGTGTTTTTTGCATGTACCGTAGATTAATGACTATTGTGCTTTCCTTTACCATCTTTTACCCAGGTAATCCCTTTACTGAGATACCATTAGTGCTATAATTAAATAGAAAATAGCTTCAGCTTCCCTTTCTTTTCATAGGAAAGACAGTCATGTTACTTTTTGACAATTTTAAAATGAGTTCTGAGTGATCCCCCAATTTTGTAATCTAACGTGCTACAACTGCAATAATGTACCTCAGAACCACTGCCTGCTAGAGTCGTGGGCTCAGCTGTTTATCATATGACATGGTGGCCTGTCTCTTTAGGGTTGGCTTTTCAACATTGGTGTTTGGGTTGACTCTTCAGAGTCCTGAAATGTACAGCCTTCTTTGAGAGATTTAAAATCTGATTAACTCTTTGGTTTTAAATTAGACAAGGACTTGCAGGAGACCACAGCTGCTTCCACAGGAAAGAACAAGCAGCTTGAGGCTCCAGGAGTTTCCCAGGAGAGAGAGTGAGACGCCTTCCTCCCCCAGGGTCCCGGGACCAGGACAGGTATGCTACCACATAAGCAGACAATACACATGTGCTGGGTGATGGAATTGGGTTATAAATTTTCTTTTAAAACCATGACAGAATAAAATAGGAGGACATATTTGGAGGATGAATTTTAATAGGTTTATATGTAAAAACCTGTTCTTTAATTTTTTAAAAAAGTGGCCACTGTTAGGATAGGTGGAACGTGTTTTAACTAAAGCACGTGAAACATAAGCTTAGATGTTTTAGTTATTTGTAAGTTTAATATAAGTCATCAGTTTCTTTTGGTCACTACAGACTCCTCAAAACACACAGTGTGTGTGTGTGTGCACGTGTGTGCACGCACGTGCACATGTACGTGCACGCGCACCCAATCACTGTGATATCCTGGGACATTAAGAAACGTATCTTGACAGTATATCCAGAGGAGAGCAACCAGAATAAAAGATTTCAGATCCATCTCACAAAAGCAGTAGTGGGAAGACACGGTAACATTCAGTGCAAAAGCAGCATCAGAATGATTTGATGATGGCTGAGCATTCACTAGAATTATAAGACTTGAGAGGCCCTCAGGGAGATGAGCTTCTAGTACATTCTTCCTTCCTCTGGGAAATCCCAGGCAGTCTCTGTCCTCAGCGTGAAGTTCCACCCCTCGCCTGCTCCAGAACCTGCAGTGGAAGAGCTCCTCTTACATCTCTGGGTCTTGCCCAGTCACCAGATCTGCTCAGTCCTGATGATGATTAAGCTTGTGATGTGGTGGCAAATATGCACTGGGGAGGCCTTTTGAGTAGTGGTTGGTCTCCTACCGTTCAGATGGGTTTATTTGGCCTCAGGAAGGAGATTCTGCTATTTCCTTACGTAATAACATCGTGCAAGAACATTATTAGAGCAACGAATGCTGTTGCTTCTGCTTTTATTTTTTTTCCATTGCAATGTAATGTTGCCCTGTCTTGCTCAATCTTTAATGACATGTGGATGAGTTTACCGGCTGTGCCCTATTATGATTTCTTTGAACTCTATTTTCAGATATTCCTCTACTTCCTTTTCTAGAATAGCTAGAATTACATGTGAATCAGCTAAGTTGAAATTTTGAAATTTCTAGCAAGAGTTTCGTCTTCATCTCCCAAGCATGATTCTGGGTCACCATCCTCCATCATCTTGAAGACAAGGTTCTGGGAATGGAGCCAAATAGAAGCAAATTTAGGAAATGTGTCATTTTCTAGAAGTAGAATATAATTCCCACTAACAATAGAAATTATCTTTGGATTGCTCATTGTTAGTGATCAATCTAAATGTGATATTTGCACACATTTTACACAAATATATCGACACAACTTAAAGCTGGCTATGACTTTAGTCTTAGGTTCTAAAGCATACCAATAAAGAAAACACACAGGGGCTGGCCCAGTGGCACAGCAGTTAAGTTCCCACGTTCTGCTTTGGCGGCCCCGGGTTCGCAGGTTTGGATCCCCGGTACGGACATGGCACCACTTGTCAAGCCATTCTGTGGCAGGCGTCCCTCATATAAAGTAGAGGAAGATGGGCATGGGTTTTAGCTCAGGGCCAGTCTTCCTCAGCAAAAAGAGGAGGATTGGCAGCAGATGTTAGCTCAGGGCTAATCTTCCTCAAAAAAAAAATTAAAAAAAAGAAAACACACATAATCTCTGACTTCATGGAACTTACAACCTAGTGGAGTGTCCAAGAAACAAAAGAGTAAAGATGTACTTTGTCAGATGTTAAGTGCAATGGAAAAAAAATTAAAGTGGGGATGAGGTGTGTGGAGGTGGTGGGTTATTTCTATTTTGTATTATGTGTTGAGGGAAGGTCTTACTGACCAAGTGTCATTTGAACACAGACCTGAAGGAAGTCAAGCCATGCAGATATTTGGGGAAAATCATTCCAGGCAGAGAGGAAAACAAGTGCAAAGGCTCCCAGGCAGGAGGGTGCCTAGTATGTTCGAGGATCAACAAGGGGAATTTGTCACTTAAGCAGAGTGGGCAGAGGAGAATAGCAGGAGATGAGATCAGAGAGTTAGCAATGGGTAAGGTCAAGGTGAGGACTTGGACTAGACTCTGTGTGAGACAGGATGCCAGTAAAGGGAGCAGAGAGGTGACATGACCTGACTTGCATTATAGAAGGCTCCCTCTGTTGGCTGTGGACATGTTGAGTTTGCAATGACTTTGAGCCTCCATGTGGCAATCTAGTGGACAGTAAGATAGACATTTGGATTTCAAGGGAAGATGGGAATAGAAATTTCAGCATTAGCCTTTTTAATACCCACAAAGTCATGGAAATAGATGACTCATCCAGGGATTGACTGTGGACAGAGAAGGCTGAGTGTTGAAACTCTCCAACATTTAGAGTTTGAGTAGAAGAGGACGATCAGCAAGAGATTCTCAGAAGGAGCAGCCAGTGAAGCGACTTAGAGGGCGTTTCATAGGAGCCCAGCAAGAATACATTGTCACTCAGAAGACACACACACACACACACACACACACACACACAACACCTTGAGATAAGCATCATTGAATTTGAGTCGCTAATTTATACAAGTAAAAAGGTACAATTGTGCAAGTGCATCTATTTATACAGGAAACATTCTATTCTATTAAGCAAGAATCATGAATAGACGCTAGGAGCATGACATACTGGCAATTGATAATGCAGCCTTCTCCTTGGCTAGTGGGATGAAACTTGGGATTTTCCTGCACACAGAGCAAGAATTAGAAAATGTCCACTGCAGTACTGCCCTGACGTGGAGCTTTGGGGGAATTTTCACTCTGTCTGCCTAATGTAGGTACTTCCCGTAGGGACTGTTCAAGACTTATGTGTCTGTTTATTTTTGAACATATTGTTCTGGTGCCTTCTATTTTCAGAATCACTTCAAAATGCATTCATTCTCACTTTGGATTTTTGCTTTGAAATTTAAGGTTTATTATAGACTATTCTCTGAGGTAAGGGCAGCTCCCTTTTCAGTGCCCCCTCATAACCTGGTAGGGGTCATTTCTACAGTTACAATGATAACATATATGACAGAGACTATGTTTACATATGATGTTGGGAAGACTCATTGCCAAGTTATAAAAATCACACTCTTTTGTCTTCATTTCTTCTCCTCTGTAAGTCTTGAAGGAGATCGCTCTCCATCACTTCCTTGTACGTGCTCACTCCTTTGGAGAATCATTTTAATATCCTAAGAGAAGAGATTCAAAGAAAAGTTACAAACATTAATGAATGACTTAGGATTAATGATCATCTAATCTATGCTAGTGATTAAACAGTAAGTTGTTCTTATTTTTATTTTTTTCTTTCAGAAAATTGTTCTCTATTTAGTTTGAATTCTGCCCTGCAACTTGCTAGTTGTACCCTTGGAAAGATATCAAAGATCTTGGAGCTTCAGTTTCCTTATCGAATAATGGAGTTGTCATATTAGATTAAATAACATTTGTAAAAGCAGTTGCACAGAGTCTGGCACCTAATGGGCAAGCCAAAAGGTTATTTCTCTATTAACGAATAAAAATCAGCATTCACTTCTATTAAAGGAAAATTCTAATGCCAAATTAACCACATATTCAGCTTTGTAGAATGTCAGAACAGTAGATTATTGGGGGTGGGGGCAGCTTGTCTCATTTCCCCATGTTTTTTCAATATCAGGGTTAGAATGATCTGTTTTTTGTCCACTTCAAATACCCAGCTATCTTACATTTTAAATCGCAGATATTTTTAAAGTAAATTTAAAATTTATTACACTGTAGAAGGGGTACAAACACATGTGAAAATGTAGAATTATATTTATGCAGTTTCTAGGGCTTTTTCCACAAATTTAGGAAAAGGCTTTAAGAATATGTTTCTTTTGGGGCCAGACCAGGGGCGCTGCAGTTAAGTGCGCACATTCTGCTTCGGCAGCCCGGGGTTTGCCAATTTGGATCCCGGGTGTGGACATGGCACAGCATGGCACGCCATGCTGTGGTAGGCGTCCTACATACAAAGTAGAGGAAGATGGGCATGGATGTTAGCTCAGGGCCACTCTTCCTCAGCGAAAAGTGGAGGATTGGCAGCAGTTAGCTCATGGCTAATCTTCCTAAAAAAAAAAAAAAAAAAGAATATGTTTCTTTCCTTCAGAGCTGAGTTCCAAAGATTTCAATTTGACTGTTGTCATTTTACTCACAAAGACCCGAGTTAGTTCATTATCTGAGCTGAGCCCTGCCAAGTGACATGCACATTGCTTGTATCAGTCACTGCTGGGAATCATAGTGAATCATTTTCTTGAGGGACTTTGTTCGTTGAAAATATAGATCTACAGCCAAAGGTCAATCTTGTGCAATCTAAGGGAAAAAGAACAGCTGCTCACCATTGACCTTTGTGGTCCTACCCATGACAATTCTTAATAACATGTCTTCTTTGAGTAGTACACTGTATCTACAGTAACTAATGCTGACTATTGCATGTTAATTTGGGGATTATTTAATGATCTGACCTGTGATTATCTGATACTCTATAGCATGGGGAAAATTATAAGCTCCAGATATTTAAACCAGCCTTGGCTAAGTTTATAGCTGAAATCAGGGGCCATAATTGTCAGTAGCAGTTAATGGAGAAAAGCCTGAGAGAGTCTGGAAATATTTGATCTGGGTGCACTGAAACAGCCATCATATTTGTTATAAGGATAGAGGAGAAGGTTGGAGCACATTTTAAAGTCAGATGCCTTGAAGACAAATGGGATGAAAGTTCCTTATATTTATATTTATAGGTATTTTGTCGTGACTCATTCGTTTATAAGAAATTCTTCTGCGACATTCTGACTTTAACACTAAAAGCTTTAGTGAATGGAAACCTTAATTTTAAGGTTATATGCTTGATTTACAGGTTTGCTAAAAGAAATTTGCATTAATTCAGTGCGTGTTCATTAGAAGAAACTACATTTGTTTGGTTGGTATAGAAAAATTGTGTGTTCACTTATATTTGTAAATATATTTGTCAGAGGAAATTAATTGACTTTACTAACAACCCAGTTACAGTATCCTCACTGATCTTGTTACGTTTAACCTCAGCATTTTCACAATAAAATTTAGGAACATTACTTGAAAATAACCTCTTTGTATGAGATCTATGAAAGCAGAAGTTAAATAACTGACTTTAATTGAATAACTATAAAACCCAACACAAAATCTGGATCTTCCACATAGATATTGACACATGGGGCTTCCTGGGACCTCAGTGTGAACCTTTGTCATCAAGGCACTGTACCAGCAAAAGCCTTCTGTCTTTCCAAAGAGCAGACACTGAAGTCAGGAGATGAAAGGCCAGCATATTAATCCATCTACATATAATTTCACAGGGCTCAGAAATATTTCCTGTGTGCTACAACTACCAACAGACCAGTAATAATAATAATAATAATGTCTAACATGTGTTGAGTGCTTTCTATCTGCCAAGCACTGAGTGGAGCACTTTATATGTATGAAGATGTTTAATACATACAAGAAACAATGAGGTGTGTATGATCATCAACCCTATTTCACAGATGGGGAAACCAAGGCACCATGAGGTCACTTGCCCAAGGTCACACAGTTTGTGGGTGTGAACCAATCAGTCTGGCTCCAGAGCTGGCTCTCCTAACCACAAAGCCAGGTCACCTCCCATAGGAGCAAAAATAAAACATATCAAAATAATTACACGTACTTGGTTTTTTCAAATGCGTATTTTAAAATGTTGCTGCTTCCAAACATGAACCTTGTAAACACCGAGTGTTAGGCAACAACCTTCACTCCCGCTGTTTGTAACAGCAAACAGCATTTTAACCTGAAAAACCACACTCTAGCTTTTGCTCTACTTTATCTTGAAAGATCTTCAAATAACAGCACTGTGGTTAAAGTTCATTTTAAAATGTGGTCTATTTTCTTGTACATGGATATCTGGAGCAAAAAATGATGACAGGACGAGTGTGATGGTAACTGAGTCTTCAGAGATTTTTTTTTCTTTCCCTTTCTTTCTTTTCTTTTTTTGCTTAGTGAAAATCAGAATAGAGTCCCTTACTGGAAAGGGAACCTCTTTCATTTAGAACATCAGAATTTAAGCTTTTCAGGGTATAGGCTCAACTCTCCTTGATTCACTATCATATGGATGAGTCCTGATTATGGTGGTCCACTGTGCTCTCGTTAGATTCCTTAGGGGAATGACAGGCAGGAGATGTGAAAGGAGAGGAGAGCAAGAGTTGAAGAAGCCTACTCAATAGGAACACTCTACCAACAAAGGAACGGAAAAATGGATGGACGGATTGACTGACAGACAAACTAACTCTTTCTGCTATTAGAGCGTCGGGTACCGCGAGACTGGCTCATTGGAGGTCAGACACCCTCCAGTTGAGTGGCTCTCAGCCAGAGGGGTCCTGTGCACCAGGGAAGATTTGAGGAATGTGCAGAGGTAGTTTTGGTGGCCAGTATATCAAGGTGCTCCTGGAACATAATGAGTAGCGGTCGAGAATGTTGCACATCCTGCCAGACTAGAGATAGTCCTGCTCAAAGAGGAACCGTGCTGTCCAAAATGCCAGCAGCACTCCAGCTGAGGTACACTCCAAGCTGACGATACTCCTTCCAAAATGAGGGAAATACCCAAATTAAAAGGAGCCCTGTGGACTCCAGTCTTCCCTGGGAGTCAGAACACCTCTTCAGGGGGCTGATTCTCGAAGGCAGTCATCTGTTGGCTGTTTTCTTTTCTCAGGAAAATGCCAGATAGAATCTTCTCTGCAAATGAATCATATTTAGTCATTCTGGCCAGTGTAAGGATGTTCCCAAATCGTCCTGACTTTGTAGGGAGCTTTCCTCCCATTATGGGAGGAATTAATGGTGGCATCAATTTATACTCCTACTTGTTCTCGGTAGAATAAGATAAATGCTATTATACATAATCCTAAGGGAATTTAAAAATTGTTTTGCTGCTTCAAAATAAAAGGGCTGTTCCCTGAAACATGGAATAGAACGTGTAGTGTAAAATGCAGTCCAAAGCCCTGGGCCTCTGGAACCTACCTTACGCAGAATGCCATTTGCTGAGAGGAAAGCAGAAGTGGGGAGGGTCCCACAGCTGGTGACTCTCCCCCATGCTGCTTGTGACACTGATTCACCCGCCTCTCTCCACCCCTTTGTCTCGTTCTGATGTGCTCTCTCCTCACTAATTCTAGGGTCACACTGACTTATACCCTCCTCATCCAAAGTGGGGAAGAAAGCTGATCTTCAAGAATCAAAGCATGAAATATAAGATGCTGAAAAGGGACATGTAACATATCAGTTTCCATGCGAATGGTAAGTGTTGTGGAATGTCTGAGTGCAACAACTTGGAATAACTGCCAACTGTGTTTCCAAGTATTTGGGACCTGTTTAAATAGAGACATAAAAAATTTAAAGAAGAATCTTGTTAAATGTAGAGACATAATGATATGACATGGTTAAGAGACAAATACTTAGGGATGAAGAAATTAATATTGCATAATGCTCCCGCTTAGAAGCCTATCCAGTTTCCTTCGCTTTTCAGATCGAAACCAAATTTCTCCATGTGACTTCTGGGTTCTTTGCAATCTGTCCTGATCATATGAATCGACGGGACCTTCACCCACTAAATGACTCTAAACCTTCACCCACTGCTCTTTGACCCATGGGCTCCCGCTCCTCCCATGCAGTCTTGCTTCCACGCCTTTGCCCAGGCCTCTCCTTTCACCTAGGATGCTCCCCTCTCCACTCCAACAGGAAAATCCATGCAGTCCTCCTCTTCTCTCCCGACACTGTTCAAAACACTGGCCATCTTTCAAGACCACTTCTAGAAAAAAAATTCCGATGTTTTGAATTTCTGTAATTTTGTATTTGGGTGGTTTACCTTATATCACGCTCTTGTGATTCCTGATGTAAAAATTCTCTTGCAAACAAGTGGATTGCTTGAGAGCAGCAACTGAGTTTAGTACTTACTCTTCCATCTCCCGTGGAATCCTACATTAGCAGCCTCAGGAGTAAATGCTCAGTATTGAACAGTAATCATAACAGCCATCATTTCTGTAGTACTTACCATGTGTCAGATACCACGCCAAGTGCTTTATACGCACAATCTCATTTAATCCTCACTGCAACCCTTTGAATAGGAAGGGCTGTTATCCCCATTCAACAGATGAGAAAGTCAGGATCAAGAGAAAGTCAGGTATCTAATGTGTGGTAGACCTGAGATCCAGTCTCATGACTTTCTGATTCCAGAGCCTGTGTTCTTAAATGCTATAGTCACACTTCACTATGGGAGGAGCTTAGTGTCTGCGAGCTTGTTAGAAATCAATTTCAATTATTACCAACATAGGTAAGACAATTTATATTTTTAAAAAAAGGATAAGCAATTTAGAACAAATAAATTTAAGGACAACAATATTTAAGTCTAGATAAGTGGTTATCATTGAGAAGTCAGGAGAAATGCATCTTAGACTACCTTCATTCTGTCAAAGTCAAAGCCCTTTTATCTTAAACTCAGCAAATCCTTTATACTTTAATAAACATCTAGCAGGAGCCAAATAGGGAGACTTCATGCTATCGAACCAGTATGTGGGAGGGTTGTAGCAACTTGCCATGCTCTGAAAGGGGTCAGCCTCTGCCTTCCCTAGCCCTTGCTGTGGGAGACCTGGGACTTGCCATGGAGGATGCACATTCGGCACATGTGGTTGAGACCTGCTTGGTTACTATGTGAGCTCTGAGGTGCAGCTCTTCCTTTCTTCTTTCCTTTCTTTTGCTGGGTTGGTCCAGTCTCTATGAGTTTTGTCCTCAGTTTCCCCATCTTGCATACTGTTTCCCTGATGGAACTGGCACCCAATCTTGAGTATGCATTGTCATTGTATGCGCTGTGTAGATAATGTATATCATGATTAGAGCACAATGAATACGTCGGCACTTGGCTGGGTATCACGGACTCCTTAGTTCTCTTTGGCAAGGGCGTATTCTATTCTCCATACTTTCAAATCATAGGCTAGAGTCATTAGATGGCTGGAATGATCCACAATACTAATATTGACAACCACTCAACTTTAACTATCACCTACCTCCAGCCTTCTGTTGTAGATGCAAGGTAGCCCCACAGTCCTGATGAAGCAGCTCCACAGCACTGGCAGTACTATCCATAGTACTGATAGCTACTGCTACTATGCCTGACCTGGCTGCCATTTGGGTGTTGTGGGCTGGTCTTTCTGCCTGATGCTATTACCAACTTAGCTTCCCTGACCCTGTTCTGGCCAAGTTCAGCTTCTTCCCCTTCTCTGCTGGTCCACATTAGAGATGTCCCACCATGCCCTAAACCTGAGCTCAACTGAATTAGGACACCTTTGGTTAATACTCACAGGAATTCTATAGTCTGAATAACTTGAAATCAGGTCTTGAATAAAAGGATGTTTCAAAAGAACAGCAACTTCAATTGCCTCCAGATTCTTGGCATCTAGGTCCTGAAATACTTTTATGAAGTTCTTTAAAGAAGAAAAAATAAGGTTAATTAACTTCACAGTCTTGCAGATGTTAAAAAACGGTTTTACTTAATAAAGTAATTTGCCATAATTTCTATACAATGATATATTTTGAGAGCAATTCCATGAAAATATGTTAAAAATTGAGGGCAATTTTTCTTTTGTACAGGTTTCCCTTTATGAAATAAGCTCACCAACCTCTGCATAAATGTTCTCCATCTTTAGCTGGCTGGAAAATCTGTTAGGGTCCTGTGCTTCATTTCCTCCTCGGAACACTCTGAGTAGTGTTTCCATGGAAATCTTTTCAGTGTTTGCATTTTCAGGGATTTCTTCTCCCTTTTCCTCTTTTACTTCTCTTTCCTCACTTATAACATTTTCCTCAGGTTCAGGAGATTCCGCAATTGGACTCATATCAGTAAGGAAGGAGGTCTATACCATGAAATGAAGAGAACATGAAGTCTGACTGAAGTCTTTCCAGTAATAGAGACATTTAGAAAACACCAATTTTATCACACACTTTTTATGCAATGGAATAATAATGCCTACCACAGACTAGCTAAACAAAGTCTAGAAGAGAATACGCTAGCTGCACTGGAAATCATGTCAAAATCCTAGACCAATTCTGCTTGTAGTTCACCATTGTGGGGTGTGTCTTATTCATCTCTGTATGTTTCAGCTGACTACACTGCAGGGTAGAGTATACCTCAGGAAATGGACACTGGAATGAATTATTGTAACCAGTGTCAGAATTCTACATATGAACGTAGATTTTTAACAGGATTTTCTTTTGAAACTGACTGCAGTCGAGAGGTTATGGCAAGTTAATTTCTCAAGCTTGATAGATTCTGAGTACTTTGGGAACACTTATTTGGCTACTGGAGGTTAAACCTGACTAAACACTCAGAAGGCAAAAGAGAAAACCAACTGAATATAGAAAGTCAGGTTGGGATCTTATTGCTGCTCTTTGCAACTTGGCCAAGAGCCATGAACTCAGGCACTGGTATTTTGAGTATGGTACAGAGTACATTGCTTCTGAAGTAATTTCTTAGGTATCAAAAGTCTGAAAAACATCCCTAGTTTTGACCCAGTAATTATAGATCTAGGAATTGATTCTAAAGAAATATACGTGTGCATGAAGACTTTTGTACATTCATTTAGTGTTACTTACAGCAAAAACTGAAAACCTATGATTCTGAAACTGGGGGAATGGTGAGATAAATTACAGTATATTTCTGTGATGGAATACTATACTGCCATGAAAATTATGGTTTAGAAGAATACCTAGTGACATGAGAAAACACTCACAGAATAAGTGTATAAAGAAAACAGAACACAAAGTAATAAATACACTAACATTCATTTTCTTATATATCTATACTTAACACGTGAAAAAAAAGAAACAGATACATTAATGAGTTACCAATTGTTACCTCTGGTAAGTGGAACAGTGATTACTTTTTCACTTTGTTTTGTACTTTCCAAATTCTCTCCAATAGATTTGTATTTCTTATATTTACTATAATAAATGTGTATATATGTGTGCATAGGGCTGTATGTGTTTCTGATGATGAGGTAATCAATATTTGATGATTTGCCACAGAATAATGGGCATTTTTGGAATGTTGACTGGCCAAACATCAGAGAACATCTGACTGTTAATTCTTTTATCTCTTAGTATTAGAAAATCTTAGTATCTATCTATTAGTATTAGAAAAATACTAATTTAGGCTTAAGATAAGAGAGTGCCAATGTCTGTAAATATTCAATTCAGTAGAAGCACTTAGTGCCTAGATCATGCAAATTCTTTCCAAATAGTTATGTAATTCCCATATATAAAAGGATTATGGCACAGCACAAAATTAAGGCCCTGGTATTCATCAGTCCCTAGAAGGGATTTGTAGAGACTGTGGGTAGGGTAATGAACAGGCTGCATTTGCTTTAGCTCTGTGTGGTCACCTCACCTTAGGAGGTTTCTCTCCTTTCATAAATTGGGAGTTTAATCTAATCTTGGAAAGAAAGAGAGAGAGAGAGAGAGAGACAGAGAGACAGAGAGAAGGCTCTATCAGGTTAAGTTTTAGGAATTAAGTATATCTATCTATCTATCCATCTATCTATTCAGCCTCATCTCCTTTCTTCTCGGTTAGGAAGATTGGCCCTGAGCTAACATCTGTGCCAATCTTCCTCTATTTTTCGTATGTGGGACACTGAGACAGCATGGCTTGATAAGCAGTGTGTAGGTCCCTGCCCGGGATCTGAATCCACGAACCCCGAGCTGCCGAAGCAGAGTGCATAAACTTAACCACTATGCTACTGGGCCAGCCCCCTCATCTCCATTTTAAACAACTGAAATGCTATGGCAGAAATGTGAAACTGGCCTTTGTGTCTCCACCTAGGAAGCTTGGAGATCACCACACTGGCTACCTGTCAATAATTTCCCAGGGCAACAGAACGTTTAGCATAGTAAAATGAACAGAGTCAAGACGTAAAACGTCTTGCTGAGTGAGTGAAGGATGAATGAATGCAGCACAGATGCTGTGTGGCCAAGATAAAGACAGAACCTGTGCGTGAGCAAATGACTAGTCAGGTCGTATGAGCAGGTGATACCAAAATTAAACAGAGAAGGAACCTGGTCTCTCTGCACTATTTCCATAAGTAGAGACGGACTAACTTCTCAAAGGCCTGATATAATCATAATGGGATAAATGAATTTTTAATTTTAGCCAAAACCTAACAATTTAAACATGTGAAATTCTAGATTGAAGAATCCTTAACTTAATAATGTCAGAGGATGCTTTTAAAACTTTTGCTAATTTTGTTCTCTAGGAGGTGGGACAGAATAGACTTAGTGGCTCAGTGGGAGGGGAGGGAGGGGTGGGAGGCTGAGATGGGGAACAAAGGAGCCAGCTCAGCATCCTGGCGGGACAGCAGGGTGTGCAACGGAAGCGGGCCCTCTCCAACAGACATCTCTGAAAGACGACGATTTTGAATATGGGTGTATGAACAAGACCAGGGATGCCACGTTGAAGATAAGCCAGTGCTTCTAAATGAGCAGTCATTAGGGGCATCAAAACTCTGTGTGAGTCACATTATCATCTAAGAAGTGGGACAGATGGTGGCTCTAGCAAACACTATGTCACACTTGGCTAACTCTCAGAGGCAGCCCACTAGGACTCCCAATAAATGTGTCTCGGGAATGGTGTCTCACCACGCATTTCTACCATTCAATCAGTTCAGTCCCACATCTCAGAGGCAGAACAGAAGGTCAATCCTTGGGACTGATGTGCGCAAAGCGCCAAAGTGCAGATTAGAATAAACATTTATGTTTCAAATACCAGGGCTTCAAACACTCTGCCAAGATGTTGTAACAAGACTTTCAAAATGTGGGAGATTCAAGCTCACAATTTACTGAATTGCAACATCATGGCCCCACACCACACAGGCCAGAATGAACCATTTACCCAAATGTCAACTTATTGAAAGCTTCAGTAGGACTAGTGCACGACTCACGAATGCTTTACTCTTGAGCTTCTTTTAAATCGCCTGAGACGCCGTGGATTTAAACAGAAGGTCTGTGTCATATTGAATAACACAGTGTTCAGTGCAGAGTTGCTGAAATAGTGTAAGGAAAAGTAAAACATCGGGGAGATTTCCAGTTGTTTATGCGGAAAGCAAAAGCAGAGATCTGATTAAATGTCTTGGGAGGGAATATGGATCTGTTGGAGGTGTTATTTCTGAGCAGACTCATTATGGCTTTCTGGGATGAGGTTGCCCAGGAAACTAGAACACAGTTGGAAAGGGTACAGAAGTGGAGCCACATAATTGGAGGCAGGATGGCGAGGTCAAGGGGTAGGCAAGAATGAGGGAGGTGTTTGGATCTTGTATTTCAAAAGCTCCTAGGGTTCACCCCAAGCCAGGAACAGGCTAGAGTGACAGACACGCACTCCATCTCTCGCACTCTACCCCAGTTTCACCTCTGTTGTGCAGTGATCCTGGGTCAGGTCTTGTGCAGTGTCTTTGGACTTTAAAAGAGCTCTTGAGAGAAGCACTCCAGGGGAGCTGCCTCCTGGGTGGAGGCACTAGCTTATGGAGAATGAGCGGTTCAGGGACAAAAGGGATGCAGGACCTTGCGGTGCCAGCTGGCCTGGCTGCTACCCACCCATGCAGCTGTCGGTTGTTATGGTAACAGTTCTAGTTCTATTGCTTCCCAGAATGAAAGCTGTCATAGGAACTTCCCATTTTTTTTTTTTTCAGAATACCCAGAATACTTTACTTTGACAGACATGTGTGAAAGAAAAAGAAGTGTGGCTAGGACATCTGATGAGTTTGGAGTGGGCAGCACCCCTCTTTCCTCTACGTCCACAAAGGAAGAACAGAAAAAGGCATTCCATCATGAGGGTCACAACTCTGTCCCCAAAAGGTCAGGGGAAGACTAAAAAGTCACTCCAATGGGCATCTGAGAAGTACATTAGTTACTACCCTATTCTGAGCTTTTCTACCTGAAAAAGCCAGGGAATATCAACCCCTTAGAAATCTCAAGGGGGATGTGAGGTTTTATTAGATATTAAGCATTTTTGTCCTTGGATGCAGGAGATACAGAGTGCCTGTGAATTTCAGGTGGCCAGGCTTTGGCCTTTAACACTGTCAAGTGTCACATATATGTGGGAGGTGTCTGAGGCCTGAACTTACTTTACGTAGAATTTCCACATAGTATGACAAATAGATTGGGTTGATACTCAGCTCTTTTTGCTTCATCAGGATCAGCACTTCGTGCAAAATAACGGCTGTCCTTTATAGAGCAAACTTTGACTCTACCAAGAAACTCTGAGCAAATTTTGGTTTTACTACAAAAGCATTCTTTGGATATTGGGTCCTCAGTTCTCAATCCAATTGAGAAAGGCCTTATTGAAGACTTAGAATGTGTAAAGCATTATGTTAGGTACATGGGAAAATACAGAGATCAAAAAAAGAGAGTCTCTGTTGTTAGAAGTTTAGGATCTTCTGGCATCCCCGTCCAGACCCCAATGCTAGTCCATTTCTGGAACATAATTACCTTTTCTGTAATAAGATTAGGAGTTTCAATTGGTTGGAAGACATGAGTCCCAATGGCCACACTGAGGGCCCTGTAGACCCCTTCCACAGCGTCCGGATGGCAAGCAAAATAAAGCAGCATCTGTGTGTAGTCAAGCTGGGGTGGATTCTTCTCATAGTCAGCAAATAACCTAAAGAAAAACTGTCACACAAAAGAATTTCAACCAAAGATAAAATGCAATACTCCGATAGTCGGTAGATGGACAGAAAGGGAAGAATCTCTCCAGAAGCTTTGGAATAAGGTCACTTTCTAAGGACCGAATTAGTAAACTAACGTATAATGAACGGTATTAACTGAAGAGCATGCTAAGTAAAATTTAAAAAAAAAATGGGAAAAATAGGGCTCAAAATTCTAATATTAAAGAAAATTGTATGCTAATCGTTATCAATAGCATTTATGAAATAATGCACTAATTAAAGGTTGTGGGGACTACATGTTAAGTAGGAAAAGGGAGCCACTGGAGTGAGGACACATCTGTCTATCCTTAGCACCATTCCCACAAACTGGGCCCTGACTCCTAAATATGAAGTTTCTGGTACATCCCTCTCTGTGAGGAGTGGCAAGAGGGGAAGGGGATGATGCCCAAAGCCACTGGGACTCTAGCCATTAAAACCCTTTAACTGGCCCACATTGCTCTGGATGTTATACTCAATCTATTGAGCATCACATGACTTCTTCCAGTGTGTACTCACACTCAGGGAGAGAGTAGACCAACCACTAGATATCAGTTTGTTCGGCAAGTCTCTCTCATTCTGAATGACTGAGCTGACAGCTCTGGATGCAGTGTCTTGTGCATTTGGCAGCATGAATGGTTAGTGCTTGGGAACCTGATATCCTCCTGGGTCTGGCAAAGTGGAGGCTCAAACCCTGGGACACACAGTCCACATCTAAGCACCTAAGTGCCTACATGCCCCTGTTTGGGGAAGTGGCTGGTTTCCTTGACCAGCTCTTCTCCAATATGTGCATTCAGTGACCTGCAGAATCTTTTCAAAACAAAGATTCTGATTAAATAGATGGTTCTGCAGCAGGTAAGTTCTGCATGTTTAGCAAGCTCCTAGGTGATTCCAATTTTGCTGGTCCTGGCCTACACCTTAAGACGCAAGAGCCTGGATCCAGAGATACGATGTTATTCTCTATTACCAACAATCGTCACAACTATGAACAAATTTACCTAGACAGATATGAAGATAACAGTTGGAAAAATAAATTTCTGATATTTCACAAATCAAATAAAAATTTAAATAAAAATAACTTTGATAGGAAAATGCATAAAGTTGGTTATGCTACAAAGCAGAAAAGAATCTTAGGGGTCAATGGGATCTTCAAGTTTATCTATTCAGTCACCCTTTTATCAAACATTTATGAGTGTCTGCTACAAGCCAGGCACAGAGCTAGGCTGAGATGCTCAAGAACACTCTGACAGCAAGGCATCCTTTGATTTTTCAGGAGTCATGATCCAGCTGGCAGGCTTCCTTCAGGACCTTGTATTTTCTCCATCTTCCCACCTGCCTTTGAGGTGCTTCAGGGACTTCCAGCAGGATAGGGAGAGAAGGGAGACTGACACTAACCAATCACTGTGGCATGGTCCTTGGGTGCATATCTTCCATTTCTTTCACATGAAGAGCTGAACTTTAGTATTGCTCCCATTGAACTGCTCTTATAAATGCTATACAGGTGCAGGACATCATTATTTCCACTAAAAAAGAAGCTGAATATTATATATTGATGGAAGATGTGCAAAATTAAAGTCAGTTCATATGTGGACTCTTTCTGTAATTACATAGGCTTGATTTTTTTTTTTTGGAGGAAGATTAGCCTTGAGCTAACATCTGCCACCAATCCTCCTCTTTTTGCTGAGGAAGACTGGCCCTGAGATGGCACATCTGTGCCTGTCTTACTCTACTTTATATGTGGGACACCTGCCACAGCATGGCTTGATAAGTGGTGCATAGGTCTGTACCTGGGATCCGAACTGGCAAACCCTGGGCTACCAAAGTGGAACGTGTGAACTTAACCGCTGCACTACTGGGCTGGCCCCTGCACAGGCTTGATTTTAAATCAATGGACTGGACATTCAAAAATGTCAGGTTTGCTATGTTCTTAAGATTGTTTAAAATACTGTAGTAGGCACAATTCTAAGAAGGCTTCAAAGGCTCCCACCCCCTGGTGTACATGTCTTGTATAATCCCCTTCCCCTGAGTGCAGGTGGGACTTATGAACTTGACGGGAAAGTCATTCCCATGAGTAGGTTGCCTTGTATAGCAGAGATAAAGGGATTTTGCAGATACAGTTAAGGTCCTTAATCAGTTGATTTTAAGTTAATCAAAAGGGATCCTGAACTAATCAGGTGAGCCATTTAAAAAAGGACCCAGGCCTTCAGGGAGAGATTTGAAGTCAGAGAGATGCTCTTCTGCTGGCCATGAAGAAACAAGTTGTGGAGGGACCATGTGGCAGGGAACAACTAGTAGCCTCTCAGAGCTGAAGGCCTCAATCCTACAACTGCACAGATCCGAATTCTGCCAGCAACCCATCTTGGAAGCCAATCTTGGAATTGGCCACAGATGAGGTTGCACCTTCATCTGACACTTTGATTTCACCCCTGTGAGACCCTTTGCAGAGGACCCATCTGAGTCAGACCTGGACTTCTGACTTACAGAACTGTGAGATAATACACAGGTATTGACAAACACTTACTGAGCACCTATGATGTGCTAGGCATGGACTGTTCTAGGTGCTTAAAATGCATTCACTAGGAAAGAGATAAAGATGCCTGCTCTTGAGGAGCTCACTTTCTAGAGGAGGAAGATAGGCAATAAAGAATAAATAAAATAAATTAAGTAAATTAGACAGTGATTTTAAAATACAGGAAACAGGTTAAGGAAAGGGGAATTGGGAGTGAAGAGTGGGGAGGGGGCAGATTGCAGAACTGAGAAGGTGAAATTCGAACAAAGATTTGGAGGAGGGCAGCAAGCTAGCTAGTATGTCATCCAGGGCAAGAGCATTACAGGCAGAGGGAACTGCTGAGGCCAGTGTCCTAAGGTGCAAGCACACCTTGCACATTTGATCAATAGGAGCAGGCCAGGGTGGCTGAGGCAGAGTGGGCCAGGGCAGAACAGCAGGAGATGAGGTGAGAGAGGGAAAAGGGTCAGGAGATGCAAGGCCAGGTTGACCGCTTAAGGACTTTGGCTTTTCCTTTGAATGAAACTCAGAGCTGTGGGAGGGTTTGAGTGGAGGCTGCCATGACCTGCCTGTAATCTGAGCTAAGACAAGGGAGAAACAGGGAGACCTGTGGTGAGGCTGTTGCGGTCATCCAGGTGAAGTGCACTGTGGCTTGTTCCAGTGACAGCACTGGGGCTTGGAAGAGGCGGTCTGATCCTGGATATATTTTGAAGGTGGAACTACCAAGATTTCCTAAGGGATTAGATGTGGGCTTTGAAAAAAAGAGAAAAAATGGAGATGACCCCTAGGGTTTTGGCCTGAGCAACTGAAAGAACAGAGTTTCCACTGACTGAGATGGAGAGGGCTTTAGGTGAAGATGGGAGCAGTGGGGTGGCAGGGATGGGAGATCGGGTACACAGTTTTGGATGTGGCAAGTTTGAGACTCTACTAGAATATTCAAGTGGAGATGTCAAATAAGCAGTTGTATCTAGGAGTCTAGATTTGGTGTGGAAATTAGACATTTAGGATTCATTAGCAAATAGCTAGTATTTCAAATCATGAGCCTGGCTTCAAAAATATTAATAGCCCAAAGTAATGGAAGGATTTCGCATGGACAGAAGCTGTGGAGAAGAGATCAAGACAACACCTGTAAATCTAAATACAGTAAAATTCAATTGCCTTTTCTCAGGAAATTCCTAAGGATTTTTAAAGTACTGGACTAGCTGCTCTTGGTCTTGAGTGTGGAAAGCTGTGGAGCCAGGACACGGCCTGTTGAACCTCTCAGTTATAAGGAAGTACATTGTCACTGTCAGGGGACAATGATTGATTGCAACACAGACATGTGGTGGGGTTCCTTTTTGGATGCAGCTGGACCTTTCATTCAGTGTCTGGGACTCTGTGGTCATCCAAGCCCATGGACTGTGGTAATGGCCTGTCTCCAGAAGCCCCTGCAGGGCGTAGCTCAGAGGCAGGCCCTGGATCATGGAGAGCACAGATGACAAAGCAGGGGAGGTGGGTGGGACCCTAGATTGTAGCCCAAACCCTCTTCTTAAGAAGATACAGAGACCCCAGGAGGTGGAGGGACCTGCTCAAGGTCCTACAGTGAGTCATGACAGAACTGGGGGAAGAGCCCAGGGCTCCTGACCCTCTGCCCTCCCCCTTCAGGGGGGCATTTTGTTTCCTGATTTGGTCTTTCCTATTCTAATTACAGCCAAAGAAGTAAACTTGCTTTGTTGTTTTATGTTTTCTCTTTGAGCACTTTTCTTTAGCATGCTAACCATTAACTACTGTTTAACCATGGATAGTTAGCATGGTTAGCTTCTGCTTAGCTAACACTTACGTAGGGCTTACTATGTGCCAATCACTGCTCTAAGAGTACCACGTGTAGGAACTCATGCCGCACAACAACCCCACCAGAAAGAGATTAAAATAAACCACAGCACAGAGAAGTCAGCTAGCTTCATGGAAGACCTCACAGCTTGTAAGCAGTGGAATCTGTGCTTTTAATCCCAGTTTAAGAGCACTGAGATTTATGTAATACTGAGCATCCAGTCCCTGAGGCAGTGAGGGATGGAAGACACCATTCCCTTCTGTCCTCTTGATATCACACACACACACAGGCGGACGCACGCACGTATGCTTGCTTGCTCACAAAAATACATACACACATCAGTCAGCCATCCTTTCCCCCATAACAACACTCTTTCTCAGGCTTCATGGTCCTGCCTCTGCCCCCAACTTTGTTTCTTTCCTCCAAGTCACTTTCCAGCAATTGGGGCAGTGGCACGTGGGAGCCACACCTTCCTCTGTACCCAAAGGCCTTTTCCTGTTTCACAGCCTCGAAGTCCTCAGGCTGACCAGCACCCTCCACCTTCTGGCTTTAGCTGCTGGGGGAGCAACTAAAAGCCTCCGCCCTAGACTGACATTTCTCAAAACTTCAGGCTGGAAAGGAAAGTGCTTTTTACTTGGCATCAAATTCAGACTGAAAGTTTCTTCCAAGTAATGAAGAATCTGTTTATGTTGTTGGCAGATTTGTTCACAAAATCATATAGAGAGGGCCTTCCAAAAGCTCCTCAGGAGAAGTGATCTCAGTCCTCCAGTTTCACATTAAAACAACAACAACAACAACTGAAACAAAAAACTACCCCTACAACTGCCAGCCTCGCATCTTGGACCCTTTTGGTAATTCCCTGACCCCTTTTTCTCACCTGCTAGCATCTAGCAGAGGCACTCAAAAAATATGTGTCCAATTGAAGGGAATTGCTCATTTTAAGGCTGTAATTGGAGTCATGTTCAATTTTGTACTGCAATTGAACTAATGGCTGGCTGGAAATTGAAGGATTGATATACACAGTTTGCTGTGATGTCTAAATCTACCATCCAACGTTCCTCATATCTTATTGAATTTGGCTGTGTTAGGTATATTTTTATATTTTAAACAATTACACTGAAGTCAGAGTGGTTCGGATTTTAAGGTCTTACTTTCTATTGTGGCCTCAGGGTTAGAGGCTAATATTAATATTAATAATGATAATATTGTTTATAATAATAATCATCTGACAGATTATGGGCAATATTGTATGCAAACCCTTGGTATGTTGCACAAGTTAGTCAAAATCAAAGGGGAATGAACAAAAACCTATATAGGTAAAATGACAGTTCTTATCCTAAGCTTTTAGAATTGGAAGGACATTTGGAGACAAATATGTTGACTTATATCTTAGCTTATTTGACAGATGAACGAAGAGAAACCCAGAGAGGGTATGGAAATTGCCCAAGACCACACAGAGAGTTAACTGAGGGCCTCTACCTAAGATTTTGGCCCCTGCCTCCACCCCCAGAACTCCTCCATGCTGCCTTAGCAAATATTAAAGTCTGTGTTTTGAGGATAAAGCAAAAGAACCGGGGGGGTGGGGTGGAATCTAAAACAAATTACACAAGTGACAGAAAAGACAAAGAAATTGATCAGTGTGATAGTACCAAACTTTCAAAAGAACTCAGTAAATACCTCTATAAGATGCTCCTGCCTATTGAATGGCAGGGGTTCAAGCGGATTTTCTGGAATTTTTACATCTTCATCTCCCTTAAACCACAGACCAGCCTATACGAAAAATAAAAATGAAAATCATTAAAGTATTACGGTGAGATGTAATTGTTCCTCTAAAAGCCACAGAGATTGAGCACATCTTGTTCAGGTCTCTGAAGCAGTGCTCTCCAAAGCAGGGTGCAGAAACCACGGGGATGCAGGAGAAAATACTAGAACTTCTATTCATATGTATTTTGCTCTCATTCTTTTGTAATTTTTATTTTTAAAAATTTGATAATGTATATAATGTATTAGTGCAGTAGTACACATGTATGATTTATAAATGAAAATCCACACATTGAGGGGACTAGCTGTTTTAACTGCTGGAGAATGTGATGAAGCTTGGAGGTCACTGCCTTAGATTCTGCTTGCATAGCAACATTTGGGAGGGCTCTGTGCCCATAACACTAGCTCACATCCCAAATGTCCTGTTTGTGTTGCTCTCTGTTCTCACAGCCTAGTGTGGTGCTGGTGCATGTTGTTGAGTGAGTGACTGACTTTGTTGAGTGACTGACTGACTCAATAGCTCAGTGGCTTACATTTTAATGACATCCCTCTTTCTCAGCCCATATCTGACACCAATTACCAAGTCCCTCGATGCCCATTAGGCATGCCGCTCCCATCTCACCCTTCCTTCCATTCCCACTGCTGCCTCGCTGGTGTAGAGCCTCATTACCTCTGTCACAGGCTACTCCAGGAACCTGGGAGCTGTTTTTGTTTCCAATCTCTCTCTTATTTGTTTCAGCTTATACCATACAACTATATCCATTTTCTCAAAACTTTAATCCGTCATATCATTCTCCACTAAGAACCATTTACTACTTTCGCTTTTTTGCTCACATCCTCCCTCCTACCTGAGGTGGCTTCCTGACTATCCATGTCAACCTAAATCTCATTCAGATCACCCCTCCTCTGGGAGGCCCTCCTTGATCTCTCCTCTGAACACCAATCTGACTTGTTTATACTAGACATTTGGCATTTAGTCCATTCCCTTGGGTGTTGCCAATCGTATCTGCTGTTGAACATCGGTAATAAACTCATTGGGTTCAAAGAATGTGTCTTGCCAGCTTAATTTTTATACATGGCAAGCACTTCATATACATAAGCGTTTTGTTCTCAGGTATTGCTCCTTTAACATCTTCCAGAGTGACAACCTACTCTCAGTACTGCCTACTGCCAAGAGCCATTGGCTTCCCTAACTTGATTCTGGCATATACTCTATGCCTGTTTCCTTCCAAGGATCACCTGTGCTTTGAGAGAAGGTTGGAATGGCCTTGGGTGGCCTGTAAGGGGATGCAGCCCACAGAGGTGAGGACTGAGTTTTCTTTTCATTTGGAACAAAGGAGTGCTGAGGTGGGAGATGCTGGCCATGTGGAAACCTGTGAGGGAGAAGACCTAGAAGAAGCTAAGGTACAGCTTTGGGCTCAGGCTCTGCATGTAAGCGCTTTCGCACTGTTTAGGAGGAGACCCTTGCCCAGCAGCTCATCTGTGGAGGATAAGTACCACTCTGTGGGAGAACAGAGAGATGAGGAACATAGGTAAGATTTATGCTTTGGGACATGATGGAGCAACAAAGTTCAGAATTACCCTCCTGCCTTAAACAACAAGAAAAATGGACAACACATATGGAACATGACTTTTCAGACATTAGACAACAGGCAAAAACGATAGATTCCTGAAATAAGGAAAGCAAATGAGGAGTCCTACCATTGTTCCAGCCTGGAGGGACTTTCCAGGCTGCGGTGCCAGGAGAGGCATCCAAATAGAGCCTGGTGGTCTTGCACAGTTGAGAAGACAGATCTGGAGTTGAGGGATGCCAAAATGGCTGAAATCTTCAGGGCAGAATACTCAAGATGCACTGAGAGAAAGAGGGAGCCCTAGAGATCTGCAGGGAAATCTCCTCAAGTCTTGCCTGAGAGCCTATCTGTGGATGTTTGTGTGTGTGGAAAACATCAGAAGCTGGAGAAAGAACCACAGGAAAGGAATAAGCTGAACAATTCCTGAGACTCACACAGGGCTGGGTATAGTTCCTTTTCCCACTAGGCAGAGCAGAAGGACCTCCTAATACACAAGGTACTGGGTAGAGGAGCCCGCAACAGGCTACTGCCTTAGTGGTGGGGCCAGGTTAGCCCTACACTAGAGGCTACTCTGGACTCACACTTACACATCTTGATGTGACCTTGAAAGGATAAAACGGATTCCAAGTAACATCACTGCATGCTCAACAATATTCAAAGTTATACAGAACTGAGCACCCAACAATGTAAACTTCATAATATCTGGCATCCAATATAAAGTGACTAGGCCATGCAAAAAAGCCATAATATATGGCCCATAGTCAGAAGAAATATCAATCAATAGAAATAAACACAAAACTGACACAGATGATAGAATAAACAAAGATGTTCATTTAGGTACTCCAAATATATTCCCTTTGTTCAAGGAGATGGAGAAAAACATGCACATAATGAAAAGAGAGATGAAAGATAGAAAAAAGACCCAAATTCTACAGATAAAAAAATATAATATCTGAAATTAAAAATACACTGGATGGTATTAATATTTGACTGTGCAAAGGAAATGATCAGTGAGCTTGAAGACACAGAAGTAGAAATGAATACAAAATAAAGCACAGAGAGAAAAAAGTCTGGAAAAAATGAACTGTCAGTGACTACCAGTGGGACAAACATGTGACTGGCTTTTGAGATAGGGTGGGGGAGTAGAAGAAATATTTGGAAAAAATTCTGAAAATTTGACAAAAACTACAAACCCACAAATTCAGGAAGCTCAATGAACCCCAAGCAGAATAAACATGAAGAAAACCACACCAACAAACCCAATCATTAAATTGGTGAAAAATAGTGATAAAAAGAAAATATTAAAAGAAGCTAGAGGGGGAAAATAAGAAACAGAGATAGGATCCTTACTCCTTCCCCCATTTCTCAACCAGCTCTCAGCTCCGCATCCAGTTGTTTCACAGCACAGGATTTTTTCCTGGTTCTTACAGCCAAGGATTCATTCCTATTAATTTTCTACAAATATATGATATTTTATAGCTTAGGAAACTGTTTCAAAGTGCTTCACTTACAAGAGGGCCACATTAGAAAGAAAAAAACAACCTAATTGGAAGCACCTTAAGATTTTTAAAAAGTCATCCATGAAAATTTTAGCAACGTGAAATGTTAAATGTGAACCTGTACAGTAGAGTTTAAATTGATAAAGCAAGGTTCAATCAATCATATCCTGCCTCAATGGATTATTAGGTGATTTCTCCTTAAAGGATGGAAATGTACTTTGTACTCTCTTGCTAAAATATGGCAAAAGAATTTGAGGTTTTTTACTCTTCCTTAGAAAATAAGTGCTGTGTGCTGTTTGGATCCTAGAACATCTGACTCATTAAGCCTATAATAACATGCACTCTCACCGGCAGAAGACGAGTCGAGAGTTGAACATCAAAGAATTCTACCTGAGTGTGACTAAACATCCACATGTGACAGAGGCAAGCATGTGACAGCTGCAGCAGGGCTGGGAGCAAAGGGCAAATGGGCTTTTATGCTCGCATTGCTTAGCCGAGGTACACAGCCCGACTAGCTTCACAAATGCTGTACCTTATTCCATTTCAGAAGCTGGGGAAATCAGCACTCTCTTAAGTGGCTGTTGTGGTGAACTTGAAATTAGTCAAAAGAAAAGAAAGAAGACAGACAAAATAAAAAGCAGAGACCCCTTTTCTCCCAGAGAACTCCATTTCGGCAGCACAGTTATACTATTTTACTGTTCGAATGTGGCATTTTCAACAAATCTTATAAAATTTTGCCCTAGAGGCTGTTTTGACTTTTCCCATAAAATAACTGTGTGTATGTGTGTGAGCTGACAAGCATTGGAAATCTGTAAAAGTCATGTAAGATGGTCAAGTGGGCCTCTCCAAATGGCCTCCTTGTCCTGGGGCTCCTGAAGAGTGGGAATTGGGTGGGCAAGGGGAGAGGGCAGAGCTCAGAAATCAACTGCTCCCAAAACATAGGTGGTATTCAAACATGTATTTCTGAGTTTCTATGAAATGCACCGGCCAACTTTCTCTAAGAAATTCACACCTTTGGTGAAGGAGCTTTCTGGTTTTGGCTCAGCACTTGGGTAAAAATTGCCAACACCCTTTGTTCATCTCATGTTTGTGCAAAAGGATGTTTAAATTGATATCCTGTGTTAATTGGCACATACTGTAAATAGTGAAGGTTGGTAATTTCACAAGTGCTCACTTTTTAAAACCTTAAGCTAACGATGATAATAGAGTAAGTTTTGGGCTGCTGTTTTTGTTTGTTAACAAAATCATCTCTACAAGTTGTAAGTCCAGTGATAAAATTCACAAATTGCTCTATTTGGGAAGTAAATCAGAGCCCAATCAGCTAAACACCTTTCTTGATAGTCTTGAAGGAACCTCCTCAATATGCAAGTGCTATTTCCTCTGGCTCAACTGTACGAGCGTGGGAAACTCAAGGCTGTCTATAAGCACACCATCCATTAATTAAGGAAGAAAAGAGAAGCCGGAAAGGATGTGATCTTTCAATGGTGAAATACATATGAGATATAGGAATCTAGAGAGTATCACCCTGTTTCAAAATTAGCACCTCATAAGTGTTTCCATCTTTTGTCTCTACCAGCACTGTGAAATGGTGAGCCATAGGATGAATTCAACTAGTAGACACAAAATAAATAATTCAGGCCCTTCTTGGTTATAGAATTTCATTCTCACTTCTTCCTTCCTCAAACTTCTCAAAAATGAATTGACTTTTCTTAGCTTCACTTCCTAAAGACCTATTTATTTCATCAATCTTCTGCAATCTGGATTCTGTAGTCCACAAAAATTGCTCTGGTAAAGGTCACCAGTCACATCCTACCTGCCAAGTCCAATGGCCAGGTATCATGTTACCAAGTGATCCATCACTTTACACCCTTCCCTTGGGGTGGTCTCATCCATTCATAAATTCAACAACTGCCAACATGATAGTGACTTGCAGTCCCTTCTGCATCTGTCATATCAGAGTGGACATTTCTGTCTGCATTTCCCACAGACATTTCAAACTCAACTTGCAAAAAACCATCTCATCATTCACCATGCTCATGACCAAAAGGAAAAAAAGAAAAACCTGCCCCTTTCCCTGTGTTCATTTTAAGTGTTGTTGCTACTTCCAGAGTATTGGGCATTGGGCTTATTAAAAGCTCTGCAGATGATTCTAATGTACTGTCAAGGTTAAGAATCACTTGGTTGGAGTTTAGGAGAAGGACAATGAAGTTTACATGACTTTTCTCAGAACTCTTAGTTCTCTGAGCAGTTCTGACCTTTTGTAGACCCTTTCCTCAAGGGTGGAAGCCAGACTTCTGCCTGAGACTTTGACAGCACCTGTGCTGCCTCTGGGTGCCTAAATATGGGCAATCTATGGGCAGAACACTGGCCTGAGACCTGGCATCACAACATCAGTGAGTAATACCCTTCTTAGGTCAAAAGTACTCTGACATTATTAGTGCCACCAGGTGCTGGTAGCAACCTGCATATATTGCTTGAAAGTGACGGTGCCCAACTGCTCGTCATCCACAGCCTTGAACCTCTGCAGGGTCTTGAGGAGCTCCTCTTCCAGGGGGATGGGCCAAGGCAGCGAGGTTACTAACAAGAATTTCCTCCAGTCCACAAACTCTGAGTTTACGACTAATAAAGATGTTAACTCCTGCAACTAGAAGAAAACAGGAAATGCCATTAGAACATTTGTATGACTCCATCATGAAGCTCTACCTGCTCATGTGTCTTAGTAAGACATTTAGATGAAGGAAGTCTGATTTTAGACTGGCGAGTAGAGCCAGTTCTGACTTTTGTTCCCTCAGGCTATACCAACCAACCCACACCAGACAATACCTAGAAAGTGTTTCACTTTTTGCTTCCGTGAGATTTGTGTTTTTTCTTACTGTTACACAATAGATGTACACATGTGACTCTAGTTGACTTTGTACCTTTTCAACAGAAGAGGGATAAAGACTATAGCTGTGGCTGTGCAAGGGCTCTGCAGCCCATGGGAAAACACTCTCTAACCACTTTGTTTTCTGATACATTCTTAGGGAACAGAATATGATGGAAAGAAAGAACTGCCAGAACCATCTACTATTACTAGTTAGGATCACTCCATTTGGTAGTAATAGATACAAATGGGCTGTGCCTCATGGTCTCCATAAGGTTTCATTGACTTGGCATCATCACTCATTCTTCAAATCCTATGCACGCACATACCACGTGTCTTCAGTTGAAGTTCATTCATTCAAGTTTTATTGGTTGCCTACTAAATGTCAGATACTGTGCAAGTACTGGGTATTTAAAAACTGTTGACTTATGGATCAAATAAGAAGAATTCTCCAAGCTTTGAAACCCAAACAAAATTAAAACTTACCTCAGCTTGAGTGAGGTGCATCCAGCTACTAGGGATGTTGTTTGTTCCTAGGTTCAGGGTTACCAAATCAAGCAGAATGTCAGCAAATGCTTTATTTCCTATTATGCCTACAATACAATGAAAAACATTTCTCAGTTATAGTATGGGACAGGGATTTGTTTCTTTTGCTAAAATAGAATAAATAATGGGTACTTGTATAATCGTTTTATTTATATTATTTTAAACTAATTTTAGAGAAACAGAAGACATTTTGAAAACATTAAAATAATCATCAATTTCCTGGTGTTCTTCCATTATTCTTTCTCGGCTCAGTCAAAATGTCTTTTTTGGCTGAGTAACAAATCATTCCAGATTGGGAAAAATACTGAGACTTTATGTCTTAGTTTGGAGTCTTCTTTGATCTTTTCTCAGAATAGGTTGAATTTCAAAAAGTACTCTAACGTTTCCTCTTGTACAGTAGGGCACAATTTTGGTAAATAGGGGATAAAGGTATTTCAAAATGCATGCAAATCACCACTGTGATCAAGGTAACATGTTTATCCTCATTTTGCTCTTTAGGTCAGAATATATTTGTTTTTATAAATGTAGGGAGATTTTAATTGTTAAATTACCAGATTTGAAAGGCTAATATAATCATCTAATCGGCTGTGTATTCTGAAGTATTTTATAAAAGGTCATTAACCTTTTAAATGCTTTGTCCTTATACACTAATCTACTTTACCTTGTCCAAAAGACATATCTGTTTAGTCTGTTTCTCATTTCCAATTGCATGCACATGCATTAAAAAAGAAACAGGAAAGTAAAACAAATGAATCTGCTTAAAAAGTGTCTAACTCCCATGGCAGAGGTACCTTCCAGAGCTAGGAGAGACTCTTACACGTATGCAGGGATCTTTCAGGGTCCAGAGTGTACAGCTATTCTTCTTTGTTTAGGGAAAAGGAAGAGTGAAACACAGCCGTAGCATCTCAAATTTTTTCTTTTTTACAGCTAAATTTCTAGCATTTCTAAAAGTCCACATGAACTTTATCATTTCCTCTGAACTTTAGGAAAATGCAATAATCCTTTTAAAATTTCACTGGTTCAAACCAAATAAATAATTTTGAGATCTGGAAGGCAATTTCCTGAGTAGCAAGAGCAGAATCTTTCTTTCTTTGCTATGATTGGCCATTCAGCAGCTTATTCAGAAATAAATTCTCTATCCTTTTTGATCAAATCTGAGTATCCAGTTCTACAGAGGTGAGAACACTTTCCCAGGTAGTAGCAATTTCAGTAAAGTGATCTTTATATAATACCACATTGTTTTTCAGATAAGTTAGGCATACATCCTTCATGTTCCTCAAGATGAAACCATAAATAAACTCTACTGAAACCAAGAAGAGGCTCAAAGCATTTAAAACTTCTGGTGCAGCTGTAAAATATTTCCACTGTTTCTGATAGCTATGGTGTAAGCAAAGTGTTGTAAGACAATACTTTCAGTTTACACAGGAATTTCTTATCTGGGGACCTTAACGTGAAATGTGAAAACCACTATAATATTTGACCATGTTACTTAACTGACCAAGAAATGTAGTGATTTGATCTTCACATACAATGCAGTAGCAGAAAAAGATAAACTTACAAATTTTGTTCATGGATCAAAAGGAAACTTTCAATTTGGCCTTAAGTTAGTTAGTTATCTAATGCAACCAACATTTAGAATTATCCAGGAAAAATAATTTTATGCCAGGCTTAAAGGAACTCAGACCACGATCATAGTCTGGCAACCCTTAGCAATAACACCCAGAAAGATGACATCAAAATAACACCATTGCTTAGAATTATACACTTCCACCCAAAGAATGTGTGAATATAGAAATAGAATTAAAAAGTTACAAGAAAACTAATCTTTGGATTTTCGGTTTGTACGTCTGGAAGATGCCAAATGCTTTTTGTGTTTGATGTGAAGACTGATGACTGTTGTACTTTTAAATTTCAGGTTTTTGAAACTAATCTTTTTTTTGATATGATCAATAACAAAGTTGACATTTGTCACATTACTAATCACTTTCATAATGGCTTTCTGGGTTTGATGAGCAATCTGAATTAGGTCTTGTGTCACCAGTTGAAGATGGTGTTCTCGTATTCCATAAATGGATAGCTTTCCTAGGGTCAAAGTTATTGATGTCCGGAGAATTCAACTGAATTATCAGCAGATCTGTCATACTATCAGCCTTGATCTTGGCATGCATCTGTGACTTGGTGCGTTTCATCTGACTAAAGCCGCGTTCCGCCTCAGCTGAACTTGCAGGGAGGGTCAGCACGAGGTCCACTAGTGTCAAGATATTTGGATACTTGGGTAAGTAAACAGAATTCACAACATCCCAGGTCAATTCGCGGATGTTCTGAAATCTATAAGGGAAATTGAAAAATGTAAAAGATTGAGACTCAAGTTTTACCCAAATATTTATAAACGTCAACTAGTTTACTTACACTTACCTAGCATAAATCTCTAATTTCAACATGCTCCATTCAGTGTCCACTTCATCAATTTTCACATTGGCAGCTTCCAATACTGGTTCATAATGTGCAATCAGGATGGATACTTCTTTTTCTCCCAATTCTGCAATCAATATACAGGAGGAAAAGTCACATACATGAAAGACACTCATACAAACAATCAAAGAACAAGGATTCAGAGTCAGTGCTTATAGTTACCTTGATTTATCTTTGTGGGCCACAGCTTAAAGCTTCCAATCATGGTTGCCTTCACCACATCTTGGCCGGCATCTCTGAAACAGCCTCGCAGCCTCTTGATAAGATGTGTTAAAACAGTGTTTCTCACGTCAGAAATGTTTCCCTTTCCTCTGAGGCACTTACCATGAAAGTGTGTGACTGAATCCACCCTACGTTCTTTTGGCCCTGGTCTGGGGAGAAAAAAAAAAATCCCCCAAATCAACAATTAAATGAAAAAGCACCTGGCAAATGATTTCCCAAGTTGAACAGTCTAGTTTAACAGATCCTGAGGTCATCCCCAACTCCTCACCTTGTTTGATACATTCTGAGTATTTCTAGTGTGGACTGTAAGGTGGCAAATATATCAGCAATTGAAGAATTTCTGTTCTGATTGACTCGGGACAGAATACTAAGGACACTGATGACATCCACCAAGAAATGAATGAATTTAACGATGTCTGCTTGCAGAAGTAACTCTAGAAGTTCTTTGGCTTTCTGATGACTGGTGTCACTTCCGCGTTCATTTGCCTGTAACATAGGCTGAGAATGAAATGGCGGTTTATTTTTCTCCAAATTATAATTTCAAATTGCTCATTAAAAGTATTCTCTGTTATTCTGAAAAACTAAAATAGTATGATATTTCAAAATTACTTACTGAATTCAGTTGCTGGACAATTGCAGGATATCCCTTGAGAAAGTTCTGGAGGGCTGCCTGTAATCCCTGAAGCCACCTCCTGCCTCCTACCTGAGAAGGCATCACAGGTCGGAGGCGAAGGTCTTTGAAGGCAGTTATCAGAGAAATTTTATGAGGAGGAGAATTATGATAGAAGTGATAAAGGCTGTAAAGAAGGTCTCTCACATTGTTGTACAGGGGAATGCTCTGGAACACTGCCTTGTAAGATAGTTCAAGATGATGTGCAAAGCAATACACAGTCAGCACACATGGCTGGATTTCTCTTAAAATCAGGGCCACCCCATTGCTTTCTCTCTCTGAGCCAGGCGCACCGCCACTTCCAAAACCAACCAGTTTCTTTGTCCAGTCTTGGTTCGACAGCCTAAGTTGAAGATTCCTCTCCAGAGTTTTCTCAATGGCATTTTTTATTGCCAGAGGATCCCTCTTTTCCACTGTTTGTACCCCGACAACTTGGCAATGCACTCTTCCTGCATGTGCAAACTGCACATAGACAAGTTCAGCTTCCTTGGCTGAATTGTTTGTGATTCCATCACTGATGATGGAGAAAAACTTACTTTTTACTAGTTTATCTCTTAGATTTTTCCGTTCCACTTCAGCAATAAAATATGTAAATGTTCTTGCTGATTTGTTAGTTCTGAATACTGGGCCAATATCAACACCCTTCATGTCATCCAACTTGCACATCCAAATAAAATCTTTGAGGGGACGTCCAGTCTTGGCGATAGCGTGACACGATCTGAATAAGTTCTCTACTCTCCCGAGGGTTACTTTGCTCACAGTCCTCACCATCAGCTCCGTGGTGGCTCTGTTCACTGGAGAACCACTTGTTGCTTCCATTAATGAAGCCCTGGCATGAGCCTCGCTGAGATGATGTGCATGGAGAAATTCAGTCCTAAAGTTGTCAGTGCCATAAAAAAAACTCACTTGATTTCCCCTTGACTTCACTCCATGCTTACGACACAGGTCACAGAACATAAGATTTAGTATCTCATCATATACAAGCCAAGGGTATTTTTTTAGCCAAATTTTCAAAAATTGATTGTTCCTCTCTGGAAGGTAATGGTCAAGCTTCTGTGGCCTTTTCTGCTTTTCGGTGACTCGATTCACAGCATCTGAAGGATCTCTGCCTTTAAAATAACTCCACATTGTTATTTGAAGTAATCACCAATGTCTACCCTCCGTTTTTCTTAATCTCTTACCCCTACATTTGAACATTATTTCTGGAAAAAATTATACTGAGTCCTTACTACTTATCAGGCATTCTGGTTAGTGCTTTATATTCATTTAATCCTCATAATTCATTATCCTGATTTTACAGTTAAGAAAGTGACCAATTATTATTATTGCCATGTTATGGATAAAATACCTAGGGCACAGAGAGGTTAATTAACTTGTTCAATATCACAGTGCTCATAAGTAGTGGAGTTGGGGATCACTGGCAGGCAGTCCACAGTCCCCATGTTTACACACTTCGCTATTATGGGTTTCTCATAAGGGCAAAGGGTGCTATGGTCTTCCTCACTCTAGAATCTGTTTCTCCATGTATAAGAGGGATGCTGCTTTTTGCTGCCATTCCCTTCCCATGGTGACAAAAAAGAATAACAGGACGTGCACGGCAGTGTGGCTACAAGATTTGCCTTGGACATGTCTTCCCTGCTGCCCCAGCCCGCCTTCCTGGGCAGTGGTAGAGCCAATGTGTTACCAAAAGGGCGTCAGGCCTTGAGACTCGTCCCAGGTGGTCTTGTAAAGGAGCTGTGCCTCATGCCTCGTCTTTCCCTCGCCCCCAAAGCTGTAATTTTTGACATACATTTATTTGTCAGAGGGGGGAATATATATTTATCTGGACAAAAGGGCAAAAAATTTAAAGTTAAACAATGTCTTAAAAAATACCAGTTTCGCCCTGAAGGCAGAGAGCCTAGACCACATTTCTATCTCACTCCGACAACTTCTGGACACTATTGATCATCAGATGCCATTGTCCTCCTGCCTCTCAGTTAGTCGAGGTTATGTAGTGAGACAGAGCAGCGTCTGCTGCTCTCTTGGACACAGTCTTGTCCCCCCCCATCCATGCCTACATCCTTTGGCTCTAAATGCTTTTGCTAATTCTCTCCTGCATGTCCTCTGAGAGCCACTTGAGAGCACAACTCTACCACAAGATCTTTGTGGCCCTCACCTCCTGCCTCTTGCCCCAGTGGGTCTGTTTGCTGTTCCCTAAATACGTCATGCAACCTCAAAGTTTTAATGTCTACTCTATTCTCCCCTGGGCCTGGAATACCCTCCCATTGCTTCTCTTCCCGAAAGGTTCCATCCAGAAGTTTCCTCCAGGCTAACCCCTGTGGTAACCCACGCAGGCAGTGATAATTACTTCCTCCTTTGAATTCCTGTAAAAACCATGTAGCTGAATGATCAAGTTAGCCACTACGGCCTGGAGTTCTGAACTTACGCCCTGTCTCTGAGACGCGTCCCTAAATCTAAGGGTCCCCAAGAGGGGTTCATAGGAGCGGCCCTTGTCAGCTTTTAGAACAGCATTCCAGGGCTCGAACAACTAAATGCTGCCTCTCTTGAAGAAGATGTGAGGGTACAGAATTTGTTGGACTGTGTTCTCTCCAGAAAGCCTCTTGGCAGAAGCCAAAACAGCGACGAACTGAATCTCTACAGGCATTACATGGAGTACTGGTGGGCTTACAAGGAAAAGGAGTTCTTATGGTTTAAGTGGGGACAGAGGAACACTGCTAAAGTGTTCTAGTTTCAAGAAACTCCAAATTGCTTCCATTGGAGAAAGGACGTTTTCTGATGTGCTTGTCACTTGATGTCCAGAGACAAGATGTACCTACCCAGAGCTTCCTGTGGTACACAAAAATGAGCGTTTTTGTTTCGGATGCTTACAGTCCCTGGAAGCCACATACCTCATGGTTTAACTCTGCCAGGTGTTGCAATGTTTTTCTGGAAGTGTTTTAAGGTAATACTGCAGTTGCCTATTAGAGTATGTGCTCCTTCAGGATACTGAGCTAACATTTTGAATAATAGTAAGAATAGTCTGTATCAGTATTGTATAATGTTATATATTATATAATATTACTATAATTATATAATTAAATGATAATGGCTTAGATTGCAATTAAACTTGCACATTCTAGGTACCACTTTCTAAGCACTTTATATATGTTAATTACTTTAATGCTCCTATCAACCCCATCAAATATGCCACTTTATAAGTGAGGAAAGTAAGACAGAGAGGGTTAAATAACTTGCCCAAGATCGTACTACAGTCATTCAACAAAAAGTGGATTTGAAAAGAGCTGTCTGTCTCTTCTTACCCAGGAATGGGTCGTCTTACCCATCCAATCATGGGTAAGAAGGGAATTAACATGGAAATGCTAGCGTGAGGCCTGACTCATAGGGCCTGACACCATGTCAGTATTGGCTATTGTTATAATTCAGAAAATACTCATTCAATCCCGTCTGGGTGCGGAGTATGCTCATGGGAATGTTTCCTGGGTCGGTCAATGGAAAGAATTGTCTTGCTGATTCACTGACTGTCTCTTACGCTGCTCCTA